CACGCCAGGGCTATGTTAAACTGTAATAAAGGCCCAGCCTGGGAGAGGGTGGGAGACTGAGAGGAAGACTCCAAACCTCAGGACCACTGCTGTTCCTAAGGACCCAGGGGGTTGGAGAGGTGTCAACTTCCTCCTGGCTTGTATGAGGCAGATACACCCAAAATCATGACCATCTGGAGTTAGGGCTGTTCCTTTGGCAGAAGAGGGGTGCAGGGAGACGCTGGCAGTGCAGGGGGGTCAGAGATGGACTCATCCATCACCAAGGAGCATGCTGAACGCCAAGTGGAGTCTCATGGGCCCAGGGAACGTGTGTGAAATGGAAGTTCTGCTGCCTGCCCCAGCCTGCAAGGTGGTGACAGGGATTTAGCTGGGGCAGCAAAGGAAACTGCAGTCTTTACAGCGCCCCATACAAGTGCAGGGCCAAGAGTGTGGCAGGTGTCAGAGGTCATGAGGTCATGCTGCCAAGCTCTACCTATGTGAAAAGCCATTGTTGAGTGCCTGCTGTATGCTTGACAGAGTGCCCGCTGTGCCCACTGAGACCAGCAGACCCCAAGTCACGCTCGCTCAGTGTCTCTGATGAAGTACTAGGTGCCCCAGGAGGGCTGTGGGGACCCTTCTAGGACAGCCCAGGATATGTTGCTGGGGGAGCCTGTCTGGGCTGAGCAGGGATGTGCTGTGTGGGGTGGAGAGGCAGTGGGGGGTTCCGAGTGGAGGAAGCAGCATTCAGAGGTGTGGATGCAGGAGCAGCCTTGAGCTGCAGGACGGGGTGCCTGGTGGAGTCCCCAGGGGAGCCTGGATATGGGGCTGTCTGGCATGCTCTGGCTGCCATTAGTGGCTTTGCCAGGGCTGAGACTGGGGGCTGCTGAGACTTCTCAGCTTGCTCTTGCCCTCCCTCTGACCCCCGACTGTGATAGGCTGAATGCCCCTCTTGCCGTCCCCAGGCCTCCCTGCAGCTCTGCATGTCATCATGCATCAGGCCTGTCACTTGGAGTATTGGATGCTTCCTCCTTTGGATCAGGAAAGTCCAGGGCAGGCATGAAGCCTCCTCCATCAGACAGGCAGCTTCCTAACGCAGAGAGGCTGCTTGTCTGATACCAGATTGGCAGAGTCCCAAGGGAGGGGCTGGGTTTCCTCCTTGCTCTGGGGTGGGATGGAGTGCCTCTGGGCTGGTGGCTTTTTTTTTCTTTTTAGATTTATTTATGCATTCAAAAGGCAGAATGACAGAGGGAGAGACAGAGAGAGTGCTTCCATCTGCTGATTCACTCCCTAAGTACCTGCCATGTAAGGCTCTAAGCCAGGCTTAACTCCATCCCAGTCTTGCATGTGAGTGACCAAGCCCCGTCATCTGCCTCCCATGTGCATTAGCGGGAAGCTGGCGCAGCAGGAGAACATTCCAGACTCCAACCAGACTTTCCAGTATGGGAGGCAGGGTGTCCCACATGGTGGCTCAACCTCCATGGAAGCACTTCTCCACGGGGCTGAAGTCCCCTACTGGGCGCTGTTCTCCTGAGCTCTCTGTGGATCACCGAGGGCAGCACATCAGGGTTACCAAGGATCCACAGGGTTGCTATGGCAACACTGCTTCCAGAGGATCACTCCAGATCCTTGTGTCAGCAGTGACCCTAGGGCTCTGCCTTGCCTGCCTCTGTCTGGACTTCTGTCTGGCATCTCTGTAGAGCCGTGCTCGGTGGGCGACGGCAGGGGTAGGGAGCCTGGGACAAACCAGGTCCAGCTCACATGTGGCGATGGGAGGGGACAGGCAGTCTAGGACAAACACGGAGCTCAAAGGGATGTGCAGAGAGCGAGGAGTCCCTTGCAGGACAGAGAGTAGATGTGGATGAGAGGCCAGGAGCCGAGGGCATGGCAGCATTGCCCTGGACTTTGGTTTAGGGGTCAGCAGCAAGCCAGTGTTGGTCCTTGGCTCATGGGCAGATGCTGGCATTCTTCCTGACTTACTCCCCCAAATGGCTACAGTGGCTAGACCTTGGCCAGGTCAGAGACAGGAATTCCAGCCAGGTCCTCAGGTGGGTAGCAGGAGTTCAAGCATATGGGCTGTCTTTCTACTGCTTTCCAGGCTCATTACTGGGAATCTGGATCAGAAGCAGAGCAGGGCCTGGTACAATAGCCTAGTGGCTAAAATCCTCACCTTACTTGCGCCGGAATCCTATATGGGTTTTGGTTCATATCCTGGCTGCTCTACTTTCCTTTCAGCTCCCTGCTTATGGCCTGGGAAAGCAGTAGAGAATGGCCCAAAGCCTTGGGACCCTGAACTCGCATGGGAAACCTGGAAGAAGCTCCTGGTTCCTGGTTTTGGATCAGTTCAGCTCTGGCCATTGCAATCACTCAGGGGGTAAACCAGCAGACAGGAGATCTTTGTCTCTCCTTCTCTCTGTAAATCGGCCTTTCCGATAAAAATAAATCAATCTTAAAAAAAAAAAAAAGAAGCAGAGCAATCAGAACTCGAACCGGTGCTCTGATGTGGGGATGCTGGTGTCATGGGCTGCAGCTTAATCCTTTTCCCCACCCTGTCAGCCCTGAGATTCTGTACACTTGAATAAGATTATCTCAGCTGTTCAGTTGCAGTGTAAGTTTAAGTGCTGGGCTCACGGGACCAGCGCCACATGTTCCACTTTACCCCCCAAATGCAGAAAGTTCTATTGGACAGCACTGGAGCAGAGCTGAACAGAGGCCTTGGAGCACTGGTCCCCAGGACAGAGTTGTGTCCTTCAGACTGTGGCTGCCTCCCCTGGCTGACCTCACAGCTTTGCAGTCTGTCTCTGCTGGTGGATTTGCTCCCCATCCCACTCAGCTCCTGTCTGAGTCCCAGGATTGCCACCGAAGGGACCCAGCCTGGGGCCTGTCCCCATCTGCTGTGCTGGCCTCTGGTCCTGCCCACTATAGCCCACTTCTTTTTTTGAGGCCCCACTGGCTCACGGTCTCCGTTCTCATCAGGCGATCAAGGCTAGCAAAAATTGCAAGGAAATGAAGCCGCAGGGTGAGTTGGATGTGGCTTGCAGTCCCAGACATGCTGGCGAGGGGCTCTGAGATGCCAGGTGTGCCCTCTGAGATCCGCTCGCAGAGACTGGCGAGGGTGGGAGAGGACAGGCAGCTGGCGGTCCTGGCTGGGAACGGACAGAGGATCCCTGCCCTCAGAGAAGAGAAAGGCGATGGTGAGGGCTCTCTTGCCATTGGCTCCTAGTGGCATGGCACAACATCACATGAGCATAGCCTGGCAGTGGCCAGTACAATGCACAGGTGGCTTCCCAGCGGGTAAGCTATCAGGACAGAGGAAAAGAGACCTGGGGCAGAGGGATGTTGGACGAGATTAGATGCCATTTCAGGTGTTTGACCTCCCAAACTCCTGGTTGTGATTGTGGAAGTCAACAGTGACCCATCATGCCCTTCTACAGACCTTGCACCTGCTTTGTCCCTGCTTCCCTTCATTCCACATCTAAGAGGCTCCATTCATTTCTGCTGTGAGTGGGTGGGGGGTGGGGCAGGATCAGCAAAAGCTTTCCCTAGAGGAGGGGCTGAGTCCTATTTATGTATGCAGTGCTGAAGTTGGGAGGAACTTGACTGGGTTGGTGACTTGGTGGGTCAGGAGAGCAGAGAGGGATACCAACGGAGATCCTTGGGGTGTGTGGCTCAGTGTTGCCCTCTACCACGTATACACTTGACCTTTGAGGCTCTGAGCACAGCCCGCCCCACAGACCCATCGCAGGGGCTCCATGGATGAAGGTATGAATAGATGAATAAATAAATGAAAAGCAAAATCTAAGGGCTTCTGGGAATTCCAAAGCTCCAAAGGAGAGAGAGGAGAGGGGATTAAGGCAGAAGTCAGGGAAAGCAGTGTGTTCTGAGGTCTACTCTCGCTTCTGGCCCTTGATGGTCCTCCTTCCCTCTCCTGCCAGCCCCTCCCCCTGCTCCCCCAGTTCCTTTGGGGAATGCTGAAGGTGCAGCCTGAAAGCTCTGCCTGAGGAACTCATTACAGACACACTCTGTGGTGTGGGAGTCGTGCTGGAGGCATGGGATGGCGGGGGAAGGCAGCTCAGCACCCAGGGGTGCTACCTATCGGACAACTGGCTCAGGCTGGGCTGTAGCCTCCACAGCCTGCCCCTTGGGCTGGAGCTTGCTCCTAGCCCGACAGTCCCCTCCCGGGGTGGGGCCGTGAGCTGGCGACAGCCTCCTGGTCTTTGTGTGTACAGATGAGGTGTGGTGGCCAGGGCCCTGAGTGTGGTCATCTGGGGGAGGTCTCCTCCAGCCACTCATGGACCCTGGACTGTGGAAATGCAAACCCAAATGCTTCACAGCACGAGTGGGGAAACAAAGGCCCAAGGAGGGGCATGGCCTCTCTGGAGTCACCTGTGGCAGAGAGCAGAACCAGGCCTGGCAGCTCAGCTTCCAGAGGGCCAGCTGCGGGCACACGCCTGTGTTTCCTCCTTCTTTGCCTCAGTTTGTGCAATATTTCCCCCAAAATTCAAGGACTGTGACTTAGATGAGCATCATGGGAAAAAACTACCATACAAGCTTGTGTCATAGGAAGACATGAGCCTTGCCGCCGTGGGGGGTTGGCCTGTCACCCTGGGGGGAGGGAGGGAGGTGCCACAAAAAGGCGTGTGTTGGTTGCCCCAGAGGAGGGATCCGTCTTTCCGTTTTTTCTTAAATTATGTGTTCTCAAATTCAGGCTTGAGTTAAAACACAAGGACAATCTGGGAGAACACGATTCTATGAATTCTGATAAAATTCACGCTTGCTTCTCTGTGAGTGCCCAGCCCGTGTCAGAGGCATGCAGCATCCTTGCATGTTGAAGGGACTGAACGAAATGCACATGGAGCAGCCCCCTGCTGCCAGGGGTGGAGATCTGTTCTTGGCCTCCAGGCTGGTAAACAGTGCCGTAGTGGGCATCCTTCTTCCTCAGCCCAGGAAGGGCCCAGAAGTGGGCACCAGTGTGCCCCTCACGAGGCCCCCTGCCCTCTCTCCCTCCCTCTCCCTGGCTGTAGGGAACCGGCTGGATGAGGGCTCAGACGTGGAGTCGGAACCCGACCTCCCGCTGAAGCGGAAGCAGCGTCGGAGCCGGACCACATTCACGGCCGAGCAGCTGGAGGAGCTAGAGAAGGCCTTTGAACGGACCCACTACCCCGACATCTACACCCGTGAGGAGTTGGCGCAGAGGACCAAGCTGACCGAGGCGCGCGTCCAGGTGAGGGGTGCCGGAGTGGGGGGTGTTTCCTGCTGCAGGTACATTTCCCAGGACAGGGTCGGTGAGTCCAGGGGGCGACCCCTGGAGGGGATGCTTGCCACAGGTGATCAGGGGCCACACGGACAGGCAATGCCAGCAGTGCCTCATGAAGAGTTCTCGGATGGCAGGTGTTGGCCAGCTGCGAAGGTGGACAGTCCAAGGGCAGCGGCAGGGAAGGGAAGGCAGAGGGAGGAGGGGTCTAGGAAGGGTGTGAGTCTTGTCTCCAGCTTCTGATGAGATGAGGGGAAATGTTCTAACTGCCCGGGCTTCCTTAGGTAGGTAATGAGGTTCCCATCACCAGAAGTATGCAAGCCTCCCAGGCAGGTGCATCTTGGGGGTTTGAGGAGTCAGAAAAGCAGGGGCAGACTCAAGACCTGGACGTACCCCTGCCTTGTGTGTGGCTCTGCACCAGCAGGGCTACGGGAGGGGCATAGGTGGGGAGTGCAGAGCTTGCTGGGGGCAGGGACGCCCCTCTCCCCCAACCTGGACTTCTCCCCTCCCCCTGGGCTGAGCCCTCAGATTTCTGGAGGTGCCTGGTTGTGCTCTGGTTACAAAGTCTGTGCGGGTAGGAGGGTTGGGGGTAGCCCAGCCAGTGGAAGGGGCTGAGGCTGGGGAGGGTGGAGGGTGGAGGGAGAGCCCATGACTTGTGATGAGTGCCTCTTGGGGAACCTGCTCTTGGCTCATCTTCTTGGTGGATGGGGCTGCAAGACTGAGAGGCACCACCCTATGCTGCTCTCTGGGGGAGCTGCCATGCGAGGGAAATCGTATTGCCTGGGCACCTGATCATGCCACCTGTTAGCACTCGGGCTTTGCACCGATGGCCGGTCAGAGCGTCAGACCGCGTGGCCAGGACAGCTCAGGAATGTCCCTGAGCTACAGGTGGGCAGAGCTGGATGTGGCCATCCGCAGAAGGCCAGCATTGACTCAGAACCCAGAAGCTCTGGGAAGAAAGGGACAGTGAGCCCTCTAGGAGCCGACCCCTCTTCTCACTTCCCTTCCCCCACCCCAGCCTGAAGGCCCTTGGCCACTTTTGAGGGAGAACCCAAGGCGGGGGTAGGGAGCAGCAGGGGAGCGGGAGGAGAAGGCAGGCAGTAGCAGCCAGAGTCTCCCCATCCCTGACTCTGGAGGGTGACATCCGAGCCTGCCCGTGCCCCCAGCCTCCCCTGGTCCCCATGCAGCTGTTCCGGGCACATTCCTGGGCTCTGTCTCATTCCCACGTCTGGCAGCTGCAGCTGGCTTCCCACCACCTTGAAGCCTGGCCGCTTCTTGTAAAATGTCCTGGCTGTCAGGCCGCTGCTTTTATTGGCCCTGGGGGCCCAGAAGCAGGTGTTACTAGAGGTCCCGACGGGGAGGGGTTCTGGGAATGGAAGAGCAGCCACGTTGAGGGCCAAGCTGACCCTCTGCACTGTGGAGGACCCCATCCCCCGCCCCCACCTCCCTGCTCTTTCTTCCCACCCACCTCAGGCCAGGGCAGGGGCTGCTCGCTAAACCACAGAGCTTTCTCAACGGAGAAGTCAAGGACTGAACAAAGGCTGGCCAAAGACAAAAGCCAAGGACGTTTAGCCTGGGGAGGGAGATGAGACCTGTCCTTGGGATGGGTAGAGAGACACACCTGTTGGAGAGTTCAAGAGAGCCTGCAGGTCCCTGCCTCTGATCAGGCGGGTCATGGGAACCGAGTCAGCTTCCTTTTCTGTAACTAGGTGAGCACCAAGACCCCATACGTGTACAACATCCTTCCTTGCTGGCTGTCAGGGATGCCCGTGAGGTGGTGAGATCCCAGTCACAGGAGTGTTCAAGGCAGGGCAGTTTCAATGGCCCAGGATCCTGGAAAGTAGATTCCTGCTGCGGGTGACAGATGGGGCAGGAACCTCGGAGCTGCACTCCCCACCCCAGCATGGCTGGCTCTTTAGTTCTGGGATTTGGCAGTCCTGTGTCAGCATGTGCCTGCTGGCGGCTCCTGGGAGGTGGAGGGGGTGGGTGAATGATGTGGAGTTGGCCAGGCACCTCGGTGTGGACTCCAGCCTCACCACTAGCCCTCTCCGCCTGTCCTCACCTCGGAGTGGACTCCAGCCTCACCGCTAGCCCTCTCCGCCTGTCCTCACCTCGGAGTGGACTCCAGCCTCACTGCTGGCCCTCTCCGCCTGTGCTCATCTTCAGAATGATGAGGATCACAGCAGCGTCCACCCATCTTGTAAGGAGGAAGTGCTTACATGCAAACACACACACAGAAGGTCAGGGGATTCTGGCCCACGAGGGGGCTGGCCCCTGGGCTGTTACTATGAAAACCCAGCCTGCTCTTGGCGGCTCTGGGTGCCCACTCATTGGGGTTTCACGGTGTGCCAGATGCTTGTCGGGGGCACTGGGCACAGCATGCCACCACTGCTGCCATCGAGGAGCGGGCATTCCAGTAGACATGGAAGCAGGTGGACAGGCAGTGCTTATATGGGATTCTGGCACTGCAAGCAAACTTAGCTTACAATGCCACGGCAATGTCGCTTTTCCCTTTTTAAAGCCCCCCATTTCCCCAGGGGCTGGAGGATGATCCCAGCCTTGTGTGTGTCTTCCTTGGAGGGGGATGATTCCTCGGCCGTGAGTGCCGTGGTTCTGAGCCTGTTGAGTATCTTCCAGAAACCACTGCTGCAGGCCATGGGGGTCCTGGGGTCTCCTCATTCGTCATTCAGCACCTGGGTGTTGGGCAGCTGGGCTGCAGCTTGGATGCCAGTTCAGTCCCGACTCGGAACCTGCTGTTAACTTCTTTATTGTCTCTGGATAAAGCTCCCACTTGGCAAGTGCCAAGGAACTTGCTGGTGAGACAGGCTTGAGGCAGCCCCAGGGAGCTTGCGCTGAATTTGCCACTCTTCAGCCACGCTCACCGTGCCCAGGTGGGGAGAGAGAGCTGAGAGGCACCAAGGGAAGTAGCTTCCTGGGGACACGGTCTGATGTGGTCGTATTGGGACAGGACCCAAATCTCTCTGCTCTTCTGTGCTACGTCAGAAGGACCAGGGGACATCCCCAGCTTCGTAAGCAGTCAGTGCCTGCTGGGCCCGTGCCGAGTTGAGTGTTAAGATTGGGATCCCACTTGGAAACCCCGCCCTGGCTTTCCACAAATTCCTGCTTGACCAGGGATTCTGGCAGGATTCTAGGGCCTGTGTGCTTCTTCTGGGGCCTCGGCTTCCCCATCTGTAAATGGGCTGCTTGCAAGAGGTGCCAATAGCTTAGCAGGGTAGGAGGAGTTAGAGGCTGGATTGAAACCCAGGAAGTTAGCTCCAGCGTCCCTGCTCTGCACTGACTGTTGTACTTGGTGAGAGAGGGAAGCGATGGGGAAATAGGATGTGGAGGAAGAGAAGGGAGAATTGGCAGCCAAGGGCGGACCTCCTCCTTCAGGAAGTCCTCCTGGATTCTGAGAGGTGCTGTTGGGAGCCCCTCCTCATGGTCTCTTGCATGACACTGCTGAGCTCACAGCACTTCTCCAGCAGCTGTGTGCACTGTGCCCCGGCACAGGACAGCCCAGCAGCTGGAAACCACTCATCGCTCTGTTCTCACTGTTTCTTAGCATAAAATACCAGCAAGATTCTGAGATGAGAAGGAGAGAGACACAGAAGAGAGGGTTGGGAAAAGCAAGGGAAGATGAGAAGGAGGAGGAAGGCTGCTTCTTTGCAAAGAGCAAAGAGGGGCCACAGGCGGGAACACTTGATGGGCACAAACTCAAGATTTGTTTATTTGAGAGATGGTACTACAAGCACACATACACACAGCCATCCGTCTGGTGGTTCACTTCCCAAATGGCCACAGTGACCATGGCTGAGCCAGTTGAAGCCAGACACCAGGAGCTTCTTACAGGTCTGTCATGTGAGTGCAGGGGCTCAAGCACTTGGGCCATCCTCTGCTGCTTTCCTAGCTCCGTGAGCAGGGATCTGGCTTGGAAATGGAGCAGCCAGGACTCGAACCAGCACCCATATAGGATGCTGGTGTTCTAGGCAGTAGCTTGCTGTACCACAGCACCAGTTCCACATCCCAGTGTTATCTGTATTGTTACATTTAACAAAATCAGTGCGTTCCACAATAAAGATACAAAAAATCCTTGGATAAATACATTAAAACGATATTTATTTTGGTGCAAATATTTAGAAGTCTGTGCACGCGGTTTTCATAATAGGCAAATGTTTCACCTCAAGCCTTTTGAAGACCCTTGCACTGGCAGGCCGTCCTTATAAAGAAAGACATCTGGGAAAAACAGGCAGGGGCCAGTGCTGCAGCATTGTGCACGAAGCTACTCCTTGTAGTAATCCATGTGGACACTTGTTGGAGTCCTGCTGCTCCGTTTCTGATCCAGCTCTGTGCTAACCTGGGAAAGCAGCAGAAGATGGCCCAAGAGCTCATGGGAGGAAACATAAAATAGGAACCATCCTGGGAGAAGGCAGGGAATGTGCCTGGTTCTAAATGAGGTGCACAGATTTTGGAGCCAAGCAGGGGATTCATTTTAGCTGAGCCCCGAAGGCCGGACCCAGGAGACCTGCACATCTGGGCGAAGGGCAGGAGAAAGGCCCGCATGGTTCAGACTTGAACCTCAACTGTCTGTCACAGACCAGCTATGTGGTAGGCTCTTTAGTCTCGGTTGGCCTTGGTTTTTCCATCTGTACAATGGGACCCAGAAAGAGGAATTTCAGAGGATGGAGATGGACAGACAGGTGCGTGCTTGCCCAGTGCAGTAAGGAGAGAGATTCAGAGAGGTTGGATTGCTTTCCTGCCACTGCTTCATAACCCCTGGGTCTGTGTTTCCTGTTTCAAGGGGGCCCTAGGCTGAGTCCTGGGCTCTCCCTGTACGTCTTGAGTTGCAAGGCAGGTGAGTTCTGGGTGTGCCACTTGCTTTTCTCCCTGGGGGCTTCCTGAAGAAGGTAGGGGAATGACACTTTGGGGTGTGGTCAGCTGCGCTGTGGGAAGAGCTCTGGACCTCGAGGCCCACAGATGTCACTGGACCAGCGATTTGCACTGTCCAGGGCCAAGCCCCTTCTCTCTCTGGATCTCAGGTTCTTTGCCTCTAGAGTGGGACTAATAGGAAGAACTCCTCACTGGGTGAGGACAAAGGGAATGGCGTCCACTAGAGCAAGCGCCTGTGCTGCTCGAAGCTGTGGCAGGGAAGGAGGCATGGCCTGGCGCACTCATCCTGCTGGGTCCCAGCTTTCCACTGGGAGCCAGGCTGAGGGTCCGGTCCTGTCTGATCTCAACCCAACCCAACCCCCTAGGTCTGGTTCAGCAACCGCCGTGCCCGTTGGCGTAAGCAGGCAGGGGCCAACCAACTGGCCGCCTTCAACCACCTTCTGCCTGGAGGCTTCCCACCCACCGGTATGCCCACACTGCCGCCATACCAGCTGCCGGACTCCACCTATTCCGCCTCCAGCATCTCCCAGGGTGAGTGCACTGCCCCTCCCAAGCCCATGACTGTTTCTCTGCTTTCGCGTGGACAGACAAAAAGATGCAACCTTGCCCTTGAATTTCACGGCTCTGCCCACAGACTGCAGCCCCTCCCTTGGGACTAGAGGCAGCCTCTGTGCACCTCTCTGTCCCCAGCTTCCCACACTGTAGAGTGCCCAGGGTCTCTCTGGGGATTGAATTGAATCATTGCTGGTGTGCGTTTAGGGATGGAGCTGGGGGGCTCAGGATTCTGCACTCTGCCAGGCTGTGGGTCCAGGGACTATGGTGTGAGTAGTGAAGATCGCAGTAGTTGGCCAGAGGGTGGAGAGCAGCCCAAGGATGCAAGGAGGCCATCAGAATGTCCTTCAAGGTCACTGGGGCTGCATGGAGTCACAGCTTTTGGTGTAAACAAATGCATTTGTGGATTTGAATGGAAGAGACGAACAGATCTGCTAGTTTACTCTCCCCAAGTCATGCAAGAGTCGGTGCAGGGCCAGGCTGAAGCCAGGACCCAGGGACTTTTAGCAGGATCTTCCTAGTGAGTGGCAGGGGCCCACGTACTTGGATCATCCTTCGCTGCTTTCCTAAGCAAATCAGCAGGGAGCTGGATTGGAAGCGGAGCAGCTGGAATTTAAATTGGCACCACTCTATGAAATGCCAGTGGTGTAACACTGACTTAGCCCACTGCACAGCTATGCCCTCCTGATGACTTTTAAACGAGAGAGTGGTGTGTGTGTGTGTGTGTGTGTGTGTGTGTGTGTGTGTGTGTGGTGAGAGGATATGGAGTCATTATTTTAGATTAAATTGGTCTCTAATTGGTGCTTAATAAAAGTTTACAAAAAGACTTTAATAATGTTCTGCAATTTTTGCTGCTCTGATGAAGCCGGACTGCTAGGAGCAGAAATAGCTGTGCAAACTCTGGTCCTGTCCGTTCCAGGTGTGGCTTCCGGATGAGCTACCGGGTGCCAAGCATTGAGGCAATGAGTGGGTACCCAGTGACTGTGTGGCTGCCAGGCAGGACCAGGCAGTCCCTAGTTCCTGGTTGCCAGTGGGCCGCTCCCATCCCACATGCCTGGCAGAGAAGGCCTGTGGCTTGCCTTTGCCAGCCCTTGTGGGAAATCCCTTGCTCAGGATTTCTCTTGGGTGTCTCCACAGACGGGGGCAGCACGGTGCACCGGCCCCAGCCCCTCCCGCCATCCACCATGCACCAGGGTGGGCTGGCTGCAGCTGCGGCAGCTGCTGACACCAGCTCAGCCTACGGAGCCCGCCACAGCTTCTCCAGTTACTCCGACAGCTTCATGAACCCGGCGGCGACCTCCAACCACATGAATCCGGTCAGCAACGGCCTGTCTCCCCAGGTAGGTGGCTGCCCCTCCACCCTGGGTCACCTTACCAGACGCTGTTGCCAGCCTGGCCAGCCCTATTACACACAGGTGCCCCTCAGAATTCTCTGGTCCCTGTGGAACCATTGATTTTTGGTACAGTTTTTAAAAAGATGTCTTTATATATTTGAAAGGCAGAGTGATAGGAGAAGGAGAAATAGATTTTCCAACTGCTGGTTCACTTCCCAAATGATGTAACAGTTAGGGTTGGGCAAAGACCAAAGCCAGGAGCCAGGGACTTCTCAGGGTCTCCTGTGTGAGCAGAACTCGAGCCATCTTCTGTTGCCTCCCTTGATGCATTAACAGAACATGGATCAGAAGTGGAGAGACCGGGACTTGAACCTGTACTCTGAAATGTGATGCTGATGTCCCAAGCAGAGGTTTAACATGATGAGCTGTGACGCTGGCTCCTGGCTCTTGATACCTGGGAGAGGTTTGGGTGGGATGTGGGGATGCCTCCTCCGTCTTCAGTTTTTTGTACCCATGATCCTCTGCTCTGAGTTTGTCTTCCTCAAGCTGCCAAGTGGATGATTGTCTATCCGTATTTCTCACCATGCAAAGAGAGAGAGAGAAAGAGAGAGAGATTATATTGGAAACTTGCACTTGGCATGATGGCACCCCATTTAGAAACCTGGCTAGTGCCCACCTCTGACTGTAAGGTCTGTGCACACCAGGCATTTTCAGATGGGTGGTGGCTGCCACACACCATTTCCTGTCTGACACCAATTATGTTTAAAGATTTATTCTCCAGCCGAGTTCTTTCTGTGCCCCATCTGCTGCATTTCCGGAGGGGACCATCATGGTAAAGGCAGGGCCGGGGTCTGTTGGTGGAGCCCAGGCCCAAAGGGAATCGGTCAGGATTCACTCTGATTGGATCTTTACAAGTCTGTTCCCTGCACGTGATTGGCTGAGTTGCTTACTGCCTCCTGGTGTTTCTAGAAACCCAAGGACCTGCCTGCAGGATTCAGCAAGGTGGTTCTGGGACTTGGGGGGGTCTCACTGGTGCATTTGGGGAGCAGACCCAGGGGTGGATTTGAGGAGATGATGATCTCATTCATGTGACGCCAGCAGGGTCCGTAAGATCCAATGGCTGGGGGAGGGTGAGAGATCAATTGCAAGCCTGCCTCATCTGCCAACTCCACATGTGTGCAGTTGGGAGTGTGCTACTGGCTACACCACCTGCTGTGCACTGCGGGCCGTGTTCTAGCCCGTGAGTGCTTTGGGGTGGGTGCAGTCCCAGCTCCGCTGTGCAGGGTCTCAGCTTGTTGCCTGCTAAACACCTCTTAACCAGGACTGTTTGCGTCATTGAATGAACTCAGAGTCAAACTAAAGCTCTCTCGTCCTGCTGCACAACGTAGTTAATCTAGAAAATTCACTGCCTAGCTATAAGAAAGTCCAGTGGGAGCCGCAAGCTGCACCCTGTGGGCCACATCTACCAGTGGCCTGCTTTGTTGATAAAGTTCTATTGGTGTACAGCTAGGTCTATTCACAAGCGGTGCTTTGGTGCTCTCACACCAAGCTTGGTTCCCAAAGAGACCTTTTGGGCACAAAATCTGAAATAGCTACAGGCTGATCCTTAGAGGAAAACAGTGCCAATGCTGGTGCAAAGTGTTGTGTGATTGGCTGAGTTGCTCACTGCCTTCTTGTACTTTCCGGTATTTTCTTGGGCCAGCTGTTCACTGCCAGGGTGAGCCCATGTGGCAGAGGGCTTGCTGCATCTCTGTCCCTGGTGGGAAGACCTAGAGCACGCTCCTTCCACTCTGTGCCTTGGTCTCTTGTCCCTGGAATGTGACTCATAGGAATGTGACTCAGGCCATCTCTCCCCCGCCAGAGGGAGAGCCATGGAAGGTCTTAGCTTGGGCACCGAGGGGGCACCTGATGGCAATGCCTCCTGGGATCCCTGTGACCGCTTCATGCCACTGGCTGGCCTTGCCAGGCCACCCCCACTCTCACTAGGGTCCCATGTAGCACAGCCTGCAGGCCAGAATGTTTTCTCAGTGGCACCGATTGACTGGGTCTCTTTGGGTTCAAGGTTATGGCTTCTGTCTCATGTGTCCAAGAATCGGCCAAGCTGACCTTCGAGGGGACACAGTCTGGGCCTGGCTTTGTGGTATGGAGCTAATGACAGCCTCACAAAGCTGAGTCCCTTTGGGCAGCTGTCTCCCTTAATGGACCAAGCGCTGGTCCACATTGGCCAGGCCGGAGCGAGCTATCCAGGGTGCGGATGCCTTGCTCCCAGCTTGTCCCCTTGTGGTCTGCAGTTTATTTCCCAAAACAAGATTTTTAATCCCTGGGCAGAGGAAAGATTAGATTAGAGGTCTCAGGCTTCCAGAGTGGGGGTTAGAAATGGGGATAAAGGGGGAAGAGGAGGGAAAAAACTGACACATGGGTGTGAGCAGGTGGATTGAGGTGGGAGAAGGGACCCTGATCTTGGGGTTTGAAGGCTTCGGAGTGGGGTGCTGTGTTTGGTTTGCTGTGTCTGGGAATTCTTGGGACTGACTTTCATGCACTGCCATGCCCGGCATCTCCCTAACCCCAGATACTTCCCCCTTCCCCATCGGGGACCGGGGGCTGGCTGCACATGATGAATTGGGGACCCTTGAGAGTTTGCCGCCACAGGTATGACTGGGGCAAGGGAAGCTGGAGGTGAGCAACTGCCTTGCCTCTCCACATCCTCTCTTCCCAACGGCAGGGGTCTCCCTGAACCTCTGTGGGCGACTGACAGGAACAGGATGGCCTTTGCACTTGGGGTACATCCCTTTCCCAGGATTCCAAGCGGCCCACACTATCACAGGAGAGCTTGGACCTTGAAACTTGAGGGAGACTTTGTTCTTGTAAAAGCCAAGAGGGGCTGCAGCCGGGGGTATGAAGTTGGGGCTCTCGGAGCACCTGGCAAGACCCAACAGCGGCTTATGGATCCTCAAGCCCTTGTCTCAAACCAGTGTGGGGAGTAGATACCGCTCAGCCTCGGGGGTCCAAGGAGAGACTGGCCAACAAGACTTGTCGGAAAAGCATGTAGCCCCTTAGCTCTGAGCCTGTGCCTACAGTATCTTGTGCCAGGCCCTGTCCCAGGTGCTTGGCGTGAAGTCCATGGACATCAGACAAAACCTCCCATGCTAGTGGCATCACGGGATAGACAGTCAACATGGTCACAAAGCAGTCCACCCAGTGTGCTGAACGCCAACGTCAACAAGGGGAGAGTCCTGTGGTGTCCAGACCTGGTTCTGAGCATTTTGTAGTGGTCATCTGTCCGCATACAGGGTCACAAATGAGGCCCAGTCCTGCCGCAGATCTGACCTTTCACCTCAGTGGAGGGAGGAGCCCATTCCATCACTTTCAGGGAGAGACCAGGGGCATGGTTGAGTCACGGGGTAGAGCTCGGTCCCCTTCCCCCCGGCCCCGTAATCCCCACAGCCCCCACACTGCAGCCTTCTGGGACCAGGGACCCAGTGCTGCGTCTGTGGAGAAGCCCTGTCCATGCACTGGTTTTCCCTACAGAAAGCAAGGCAAGGCAGCTTGCCCGTGTTGACACCTGACCTGTCCCGGCCCCTGTCCCATGCGCTTCCCTCTGCTTTTGGTTGAGGCTTACTGCTTGCTTGGCAAATGACTCTTGGAAGGCAACTCAGGGCAGCTGAGGACAAAGGATGCCCTTTGTGACATGGATATTTTGAGTACCATGGTCTCTGCAGACTGACCACTGCATACCAATCCCTGTCCAGGAATGGCAAGCAGGACACTCTCTGAGTGGGGTGGGGCAATAGCAGATGTGTCCAGGAGGACACGGGGTCTGCCCTAAGTCTGATGGCAGAGACACTGTCCTGTCTTGGAGAGTTCCCAGGGGCAGTTTTAGCGCACCCATGGGTGCAGGATCTTGCATCAGCACCTGCTTGTTGCAGGCATTCAGGCCCACAGTAGTTCTGCACCCGAGGAAGCCCAAAGAGGCTGTGGGACTCGCTGAAGGCCACAGAGCTCATGAGTGGCAGGGGTGCGATGCTGCCAGCTGGGATCCACTTGATCTCTTAACCCCTGGCAGGGTAAGAGGGGCCCTAAGTGATGCCCTCACACGCTGGGCACCACGGAGTCCCTATGTACCTCCTACTCTTCTCTCTTCTCCTTTGTTCCCGCCCCATTAAAGGATGACACTGCTTCCGTAATAAGCATTTACAATGAGTATTGCTGGACCAGGGACGAGGAAGGAGGAGGGAGTGAGAGATTTGTAGGCAGAAAGATGGGGAGGGGGATCGTGGGGTGTTAAATAGCCCGGAATTTTTTTAAAAAAACTGATGCAAATCATTGGTAGGAGAGAAAATTATGTGCAATTACGTTGTGATATTGGAAGGTTTTTGCCTAGCCCAGGCAACAAGATCTCATTAACAAGCAGAAAATAAGATTGAAATGGTGTGTAAAAGAGCTGAAAAATGAATTTGAATGCTGCGTTTGTCCACAATTACCCCCTCCTTCACACATATTTTATTGCAATTTTTTTATTATTCTTAATCTCTGCATTCCTCAAAGCAGATTGGGGACATCCTGGCATTACCGGGGCGTCGGGAGGAGGCGCAGGGGATTTCCTGCCCCCTGAAAGGAGACCCCTTGTGCACACATCCTCCAAGATTGGGTTGTGGAAGGATCAGAATTCATTTGTCCGGCTTAGCAGGTTGTAGGAACACGGGGCTTTCGCCCTGACCCGCGCTCCCCTGCGCCCCGCCCGGTCTTACTTGTTCCTCCTTCCCTGGGTGACTTTCCTTGGCGGCCTGCTTGCCTTCTTGGGGTCTCCTTTAAGCCCTTCCTTCATCCAGAGGCCTGTCTCTCAGGCTTTGCTCTGGAAGCGAGCCTGGAGCAAGAGAACCTATGAGGCACCTGCCAGCCAGCAGCATGGAGTCCGGGTTCTGGTTTCGGCCATGTTGACTGCTTTGCTGTGTGACCCTGGACACTGGCTTAGCCTCTCTGGGCTTCCTTTACCTTGTCTGAAAATG